CCTGCTGACACAGCACACAAAGCCAGGACACAGTTGTCCCCTGACAACTCCAGCTCTTCATTAAATTATTCAAGAGCATTTATGCATCTTTTCTAAGGCAACAAAAGGGAACATACTTCATGGTTGCTCTTGCTCATTTTCAATGGTTGCAAAGGCACACTCCATTTTATTTTATTTCATTTTTTCCCCAGAGCAGCACAGTAGCTACTTGCTATAAACACAACTGAAAACATCAGGAACAGATGGGACTGGATTTCCAGACCAAACAGAAACCACACTCATTTTATTACTCCATAAAGTCTGTTCTTACACTTTCACACACAATGTGCCCTGGCATTTGCCTTCAGTCCCTGAGCACTGACACATTCAGGACCCCCAGTGTGTGTGTGTGCAATCACACCTGCGCATCCCATAGCTCCTGCTTCAACACCAGTTTCTCCCCACCAGCCTAGGCAGAATCAGTCCAGCCATGCAGCACCTGAGAAGCAAGTGTCATGGTGGAGGGGGAGAGGGACAAACAGGAGGAAAGGAAGGAAAGGGGCATTTCCCACTGTCTGCAAGGAACACCATACTGAAAACTCACCAGACCCCACGCTCCCAACCACCCTCCCAGTCACAGCACCTTTCCTCCCTTGGATCAGTTTATCCCATTTAATAGCTGTGCTTTCTAGCTGCAAAGGGCTGGAAAAATGCTTACAACACATTGCAAGCCTGATGCTTTCCCCGGAATGCACAGAGCAGATACAAAGGAGCTGGGGGTGTTTAAAGGGCCAGGAATAGAACCTGGGTCGCCTTGGCACGGCGCCCCATCTCTAATCCACAGGAGTTTAGGGATTAGACTCCCAAGCACCACCTCCCTTGACTTGGTCTTTTCTGCCCTTCTCAGATTACTGCAGGATTTCTTCAGGTCAAAACCTAACCAAAAAAACATCCTTTACGAATTTGCACAGGGGAAATATTTCAGCCCCCTGGAATTTTTCAACTAACATAAAATGGGAGATGCAGAATTAAAAAGAAATGTGAAACAGAAAAATCTTTACTTGTGTCTTCAGGGTACAGGACTATAATTGGAGGACATACAGGACTATCATAGGACTGGTAGAGTCCTATCACTGCAGCAAAAACAGGTATTATCACCAAGTCATGGAGGAGACATACGTACTGGATGGTGTGAAATAAAGGTGAAAATGTAACAGTTGGACTTGAGGATCTTAAAGATCTTTTCCAACCAAATGGATTATATTATTCTAACTGAAATATGCCTTAGTTTTAGCCTGATTTACCAGCTCCTTGTAATAAGGTTAAAGAGCAAGGGACATCCAAAACATCTTTTACCTAGACCCACATCCCAACAATTGCTCCTGCAAGGTCTTGGAAACAAATCTAAAAAAGTTATTAAGAAAAATATTTGCTTTCTATTTTCAGTGTCTCAATCTGAGCAACTCATGTGCTCTGACACAATATACTCAATTGAAAAACTATGAGTAATTGGAGTAATGCCTGAGTAGTTTACCTCTCAGGATAGATCATTAGACTGGTGTCAAACATTTTTATCAGTGATGTTATGTGTCAATAGGAATTTAACAAGAGTCACATAAAGGACACCTAAATGTGCAGACACAGCTCACAGAAATACTTTGCCAAAGTACCTACAAAGAACAAGACTGGTTTAATACTGACAGGGATCCCAGACTTCAGACAGTAGAGAGCAGTCAGTATAAAATGGGACAAAAGTGAAGAAAAGCAAACAGCACAAAGCAGAAAAGACGATGAAGTCTGTTCTCCAGCGAGCAGAACACACCCTGAGAAATGATCAGGTATGCTTGCCTCTCTGCTCCGACTACACTCATCCTACAGTCTCTTGTTTTGCTCATCGTGTTATAAATTGCTCTTGCCGGTCTCTTTGTCACAGGACCCAACACTGGCAACAAGCCTTCACAGCAGCGAGTAACCTCGGCTGTCCTGTCCCCGTCCTCACCCCGGCAGGGACCCGCAGCCAGCCCACCCGCCCCGCCATGGGAGGTGGATCGATGGATGGAAGGATGGATGGAATGCTGCCACCGCCCGGCCGCCCGGCCCGCCGCAGCCCCGGCAACCAAGGCCTGGGGAAGGGGCACGACCCGGAGGGTGTCCAGGGGGTGGGAGCACGGCCCGGGGGTACCCAGGCCCGGGACGAGGAGACGCGGCCCGGGGGCTGCGGCACGGTCTGGAGCTGCCTCAAGAGCCACCGAGCGCTGGGTCCTTCCCGCTGACAAATCACTGATACCGGCGCTTTTTTCTACCTTTGTAGTTTATGAGAGAAGAGGGAAAGTAGTGTTTGGGGTAAAGAAAGCAGAAGGGCTGATGTGGCAACTGGAGCTGTTGTGCAGATACTCACTCCAGTGAATAGACACGGAATGTAGCTGGGGAGCAAGAACCCACAGTTCTTGCTGAAAAGCTTTTATGATTCTACCCCTTAACTACTTTTTGCAATCAGGAAGAAACTCCAGTAAACTCCAGGCTAAACAAAGGAAAAAAAAAAACAAAAACAAGCAGAGCTCTGTAACTGAAAGGGAGGGCATGATGCAGAGCCCCTGCGAAAGTCACATTTGAAGAGCAATCCTTTTAATTGTATGCCAGTGATTGTGGGAAGAGTGAGGAGTGCCCAGGTGGGGTCACAGAGCAGCATGGCCCACTGTCCCTGCAGCAGCCACCCCAGCAGCAGGGCTCCCAGCCTGCTCACCACAGCTCTAGCTTCACAGCTCCAACAGGTGGGTGTGTGAAGCTGTCCACATTTGTGGGAAAGGCAAGTGAAACAAGATCTACCTGAGCAGAGTCCGTCACCCTTGTCTGCTTCTCAAAGCCTGGCATCATTTACCCAGCTAGACTTCTTGCTCAGAAAACTGCTATCCATGAAGTGGAGTGGGAGCACAATGGATAGGGCTGCCAGGGGAGAAAAAGAGACAAGGCTGGCAGGACTAAGCCATGTCCTCCACCAGGACTAGTGACAAGCAACATCATTACACAGCAGACAGAACAAGGCAACCATGGGCTAGCCCTGGAGGCTCACAGGACAGGATACACAGGGCCTGGACCTGAGCAGACAGAGAGCCACCAAAGGCTCTTGTGCACGTGTATCCCAAAGATGAGCCAATAAACTGAACATGCATCTTCTGTCAATGGCTGCAGAGAGGCAGAGAACATAATTTCTTTTCTCTGGAACCTGTGAAGCAGTCAGTGTGATGATAGTGGCCAAGTCAACAGGAAACTAGAAAGAAGACTTGGTCCCCATTGATTCTCCCTCAGCCCATACACAAATGCTTGAATAAACAAAT